TCGAGATCCCCAGACCCGGAAACGCGACGCATCGCCTACCTCCCCCGTCCACAGCAGTGTGGGCGAGGTCTCCGGCAAGGAGACACGGGGCCAGAGGTTGAGCTGATGCGCAGCGTACCGGACCGCAAACGGCCACAGAAAATGGGGGGCAGCCGCATGGATCAAGGAGGTACGAGCGACCTCCATGACCAGGCCAATGCGGCGCTCCGCAACCCCATTCTGCTTTGGAGAGGCTGGAAGCGTGAACGACTGCTCAATGCCGTGCTCAGCACAGTAGGCTGCCAAGAGGTCGGAGGAGAACTCACCACCTCTGTCAGAGTGCAGGCGCAGGACAGGAAAGTCCGAGCGGAAACGCTCGCTGAGCTGGAGACGAGCTCTGCGGATCCAAGGGATCAAAACATCAGGGACCTCACCCTTGGTGCGCAAGGGGAAGACCGTGGTGTAGCGCGAGTAGTCGTCAACAACGATCAGGAAGTACCTCTCCTGACCCTGACCACGGACGCGGGCTGGGCCCCACACGTCCATGTGGAGCGTCTGCAAAGGAGCAGTCGTCGGGGGAAACGAGGAGGAGTGAGGAGCGGCGCGCTGCCGCCCCTCGACACAGGGAAGGCAGGGAGGAGCAGGCGAGGGTGGGAGAGGAGGGAGAACTCTGGGAAGACCAGAGACAAGGTACCGGGAGTGCATGGCACGAAGGCGCTGCACAGACGGATGGCCAAGTCGGTGGTGCCAGAGGACAGTCTCGTGCGCTAGAGAGCGACACGAGTAGGGGGCAGACAGCTGACCTGACGCGGACTCAAACGCAGACGCAGACGCAGCGACCTGAGGGGAGGCAGTAGTCAGTGTGTACAGGTCCGACCCCGGCTGCCGGGTGAAGGTAGCCAAGTGGCGGCCCGTACGAGCACACGTGCAGTGTGTCACACGCTTGTAGGCAGGGGTGAACTGGTGAACACCCCCGTCCTGTAGTGCACAACCTGCCACCAAGTTCGAGGAGAACGAGGGGAGGTGGAGACCTGACAGTGTGCCCGACGGGACCGCACGGCAGGGAAGGACAGTGGAGGAGGTCGCAATGACCGGACCCCCAGAGGGGTCAGCAAGGGAGACAGCAACTGGCCGAGCAAGGGGCTCAAGGGCAGTGCGGTCACGAAAGAAACAGCGAGAGGCACCTGAATCCAGCGTGAAGGTGTGCAGTGCTGCAGTCGACACATTACCAGGGGGGGCAGACACGCACGCACCTAGAGCAGCAGCCTCACCAGCACCTGGGGTAGCAGACACGTGGGTACCTGGAGCAGCAGACGCACTCCTCCTAATGCCCGGGTCGGGCGGGACACTCAGGTACTCAGAACCCTCTCCACTAGTAGACAGCACATACATGGCAGTGAGAATAGCATCAAAATCTAGAGCATAGATATCAATCCCCTTCTTCAGGAGATCAAGCCAGCGGGGCAGCTCAGTGGCCTGAGGGAACTGAACACGCCAAGCGTCGCTCAGACGAGCGAAGCAACGCTGTGTGGCGTGCGGTCCCCCACACGGCTGGCCAGTGCGGTCACCAGTGCGAATGACGTACGTGCAGCTAAGGCCACCCCCCCCCCCCGTGCTGAGAGTACCACTCACGGACCTCCTGGGGCGAGGGAGTGTGCTGCTGTCCCTGGCCACCGCCAGTGCCGCCACGCCCACCACTCCCGCCACCACCTCCTCGACCACCCCAACCCCTGCCGCTGCCTCGTCCACCGCCACCCCCACTACCTCCTCCGCCCCGGCCACCTCCCCCGCCGCTGCCGCCACCCCCACCACCGCTGCCACCTCCCCCACCCGCGCCACCCCCCCCGCCACCACCTCCCCCACCACCGCCACCCCCGGTGTCACCACCACCGCTCTTGCCCCCCTTGCCCTTGCCGCTGCGGCGTCCGCCCGAAGCAGACGTAGTCCCGACCTTCTCAGCACCAAGGAGGTCGACAGCAGCAGCAGAGGCGACAGAGGGAAGAAGGGGGGAGGGAGAACACCCCTCAAAGAACGGGGTGCGGGGGTCACCGCGAGAGGCACCTATATCGACTATGCTAGTCTCGGCTGCAAGGAGTTCCTTCTCGAGGAGGGCAATGGTGAGCTCGGTGGGGCAGCGAGCGAGGAAGTGGTCCCTGACTGAGCGCAGCGAGTCAGGGAGGCGCGTGACTAGGTGGTAGAGAGTGATCCAGATCGGGGGTGGGTTCGTGGCTAGGAACTCATCAGGCATAGCGGCGCGGAAGCGAGCCTCACTAGTGCGGAGGTGGGTAATGAGGTCAGCGACAGTGTGAAAGGAAGCTAAGTCAGGGAACAGGTAGGGAAGAGAGAGACGGCCTAGAGCAGCAGAGGCCGGTGAGGAGTAGCGGGCAACGACAGCAGTGTACAGTGCCTGTGCAGTCTTGTGCTGCCCAAAGTGCTCGCGCTCATCTATCGGCAGAGAGTTGCGGATAGCAAAGCGAGCATGGGCGTCACGAGTCTGCCACTATGAGCGAGCAGTGCTGTCGGCAGTAGCACCAGGAGCAGTAGCGTGGCCTAGGGCGTGATCGTACAGCGAGATGTCTTCCTTGGCAGTGAGCTGTAGGAAGAGGTATAGGTCATCAAGCCAGGTGTCGAACTTCACTGGGCGCCCCTCAGCATCAAAGGCTAGCACTGGAGGGCTAGCCATGGTAGTAGCAGTAGTAAAAGCAGCAGGAGCAGTAGGTAGGTAGGGCGGCGCGGCTCGGTACAGGTAGGGCGGCGCGGCTCGGTATAGGTAGGGCGGCGCGGCTCGAGTCGGGCGGCGCGGCTCGGTTCAGGCGGCTCGGGTCGGGCGGCTCGGTTCGGTTAGGGCCGGGCTGTTCGGTGCGGGCGGCGCGGTCTAGGTGGGGCCGTTCGAGGCGGCTAAGGGGAGCGCGGGGAGCGGGTGGGGTTGGGGACGGGGCCGACGCGGGCTGTAAGGGGTAGGGACGGGGCCGACGCGAGCTGTTAGGGGTAGGGACGGGGCCGACGCGGGCCTCTAGGAGTAGGGACGGGGGCCGACGCGAGCCTCTAGGGGTAGGATCGGAGGCCGACGCGGGCCTCTAGGGGTAGGATCGGGGCCGTCGCGGGCCTCTAGGGGTAGGGACAGGGCCGTCGCGGGCCTCTAGGGGTAAGGACGGGGCCGTCGCGGGCCTCTAGGGGTAAGGACGGGGCCGTCGCGGGCCTCTAGGGGTAGGCTCGGGGCCGACGCGGGCCTCTAGGGTAGGCGCGGGGCCGACGCGGGCCTCTAGGGGACGAGCTCGGGGCCGACGCGGGCCGTTAGGGTTAGGCGCAGGGGCGATTCGGGGCCTCTAGGTGCAACAGCGCGGGGCCTACAGGGCCTCTAGAGGCATGAACGTCGAGGCGCCCTAGGGCAGGTAGGCAGATAGGCAGGTAGGTAGTGGTGGGCCCTTAGGAAAAACGGTCCTAGGAAGGACCTGCTCTATACCATGTTGAACAAGGAATGAAATGACTAAGAATGAAATGAGTACAAATGTGGAAACTTAGAAGTGTGTACCCCCTATAGGCTAACCCACTGTAGCCTAAACAACTAAAACAATATATAATGTTTGACACAATTTGAAGCGAGAGAATTTCCAAAAGTGTTGCTCCAACAAACTGGTACAACAAATATATAGGTTCAAGCAAGGTACACAAGTGAGCTAGGTAACCAAACGTGTTCAACACGTTACGCCTTGCCTCGTTTCATCCCGCGTCGCACACACAACCTTTTCCACCTTCGTTGAACGCGCCTGAAGTCCACATTTGGTTCCTTGTTGAACACGCCACGGTTGACCCACTCATTTTCCCCCGTCAACCAATTTCTCCCTGGTTCTTCACTTCTCTTTTCACCCGTCAATAATCTTCTTCACTCCTTTCGTGTTTCTCTTGCCGTAGCTCCCAAGTAATGTCGAGCTTCCTCTCTGGTTCCCAAGGCACTTTCAACACGCCACTGTCAGTCCGTCGTAGTCGTCGGTCCGAATTATGAGCGCCGTCGTTAGTGTGGTTCCGCGAACCACTCCAACAACCTCCCCTGTGGTTCGTGAACCACACCTCCACTCCCCTGCTCCTCTCCAGCCCTCATGGAGTCTAGTTCGGCTTCACACTCCCCTGAAGCTCGTGCAACTTGCGCATCCCCACCTTCTCCTTGCAATACTCAAAGTTAGACCTAGGTACCACCTTGGTCAAGAAATCTGCCACTTGCTCCTGAGTGGGAACGAACTCAAACTTGAAGTGCTGCTTCTCAAGCTGCTCCCGCACCCAGTGATACTTCACGTTCATGTGCTTGGTCCTCCCGTGCCAATTGTCGTTTCTAGCCAGGTCAATGGCTGACTTGCTGTCCGATTTCACCACAGTAGGTCCTTCAATGGTGATGTCGAACTCCTTCATCAGCCTCCTCAGCCACACTCCCTCTTGGCACGCAAAGAAGAGTGCCATGTACTCCGCTTCAGCAGTTGACAATGCTATGTCCGCCAATTTCTTCGCTTGCCACATGATAGCAGTGCCCCCAAGAAGGAACACATACCCATAGGCACCTTTCCCTGTTTTCTTGTCCGATGCATGTGAGGCATCCGCATATCCCACCAGCTGCAAAGTCTCCTCTCCTCCCTCAAAGAGAAGTCCTTCATCCTCATGCTGCACCAAATAACTAAGTGCTCGCTTCATCTCTCGCCATTTCCTTCCTTGCTGCACGTGCTGCCCCAAATAACTCGACGCATACGCCATGTCGACCTTTGTGCATGCAACCGGATACATAACCGATCCCACCATCGACTGGTACATCTGCAGCGCCTTCTTTTCTCCTCCCCACTGCTTCACATCCTCTTCTTGCTCGGTATCATTTGCTGCCATGCCGCTGAGTGGTGTCGTGATCTCCTTGATGAAACCCTGGCCAAACCTCTGCTGCACCCTGTTGCAATACTTCTTCTGGTACAAGAAGAGCTTCTTCTCTTCCACATTCCGCTCCAGGTTCATCCCCAAAAACAGCGTTGCCCTAGGAATCTGCTTCACCTGAAAAACCTCAGCAAGATGGTCACACACGCTCTCCACCTCAGTCGATAAAGCTCCTGCTATGAGGATATCATCCACATAGAGTAACAAGTACACCTTCTTCTCTCCTTCTCCCCTCCAATAGAACGCTCGGTCACACTCACTTTTATGGAACCCTCCTTTCAGCAACCTCTCATCCATCGCCTTATACCACTCTCTTGGACTCTGCTTCAGCCCGTACAACGCCTTCAACAACTTACACTTCCTGTCCGTGCCATCCTCAAACCCGGTTGGCTGATCCATGTACAACTCTTCTCGCACTACCCCATGCAGAAATGCATTCTTGATGTCCAGCTGCACCATGAAATAACCCCTTGCTGCTACCACCTTTAGGAATGCTCTTGCGGTTGTAAGCTTGCTCACGGGGGCATAGGTCTCGTTGTAGTCAACCCCCTCGACCTGAGTATACCCTTTTGCCACTAACCTTGCCTTAAACCGCTCTAGCTGCCCCATATCCCCTGTCTTGATCTTAAAAATCCACTTCACACCCACTGCTGCCCTTCCTTCCGGCATAGGCACTAACTCCCAAGTGCCTCTCTCTACTAGAGTGTCTAATTCCTCCTGTATTGCAGCCATCCACTGCTCCCTCTGTGGTCCTGCCAAGGCTTCTTCAACAGTCACGGGTTCCTTAGGCAGGCTATACTTCTCCAAACTCCCCTGTGACACTAGCGCCGTTGCAGTTGCAGCCAAGAGCAGATGGGTCCTCACATCCTTCCAAGGTGTCATAACCAGTGAAACAAACTTAGCTGGTTTCTTCTTGACCCTCAGACCGCGCCCCAACTCCTCAGCCGGTGTCACGTCCTTACGCACTTCCTTTGTCGCTGCGTATATCTCGTCAAGCCCTCGTTCCTTTCCTATCACTATGGCTCCATCCTCCAGCAGCTCATTTATCTCCTTAGCAGCTTCACAAGTAGCGTCACTATCGATCAGCTTCCATGGGCTACTCCCATCCTCCTTTGCTGACCCATCACTGTTCTCCACATCCTCCACACTCTGAGTTTCCTCCTCGGCACACGTCTCTCCAAGCTCTCCTTCATGGCGCCCTTCTTCCTCCACATCTGCTACCGCCTCTACAACCCTTTTCTTCGCTGGCTCCGAAAATATAGGTTCCTTGATAGGTTTATCCGCACCACCTCCTGTGTCCTCCTCATCACTCCCTATCCCCTCGTTCTCCTTCTCCACAAGCAGCTTCTCCACCTTATCAAGCGCAGTTGCTGCTCCCGTTGCTATCTCCTGGTTTACCCCCTTCCACTGGAGATAATTGACATCTTCATAGAAGATGGCATCCCTGGTCACTGCTGTCTTCCCCTTCTCCACGTCTTTAATCACCCAGCCTTTGCTCACCGTGCACATCCCAAGGTTGATTCCCCACTTGCTCCTTGGTAGAAGCTTGTGATTCGGTCCTGCTGGCTCCCTATACTGTACCATGCAGCCCCACACTCTCGCAAACCCCATGTTCGGCTTCCTCCCATAGAATGCCTCATGCGGTGTCACATCTGCTGCAAGGCCTTTAGTAGGCAACCTGTTCTTCACCCAGCATGCCATCGCCAAGGCATCTCCCCAATACTTCAGTGGAAGACCGCTATCAGCTAGCATGGTCCTCACACTATCTAAGAGTGACCTGTTCACCCTTTCCGCAATGCTGTTGTGCTGTGGGGTGTATGGGACCGTCAGCTGCCTTAGTATTCCCTTCGTACGCAAAAAACTGTTGAACTCCGTATTCACAAACTCCCCACCGTTGTCGGTGCTTAACACCTTCAGCTGCTTTCCACTCTGCCTTTCAGCTTCAGCCATCCAGTCCAAAAAACTGGAAAACACCTCTGTCTTGTCCTTGATTTCTGTCACCCACGTGTGCCTAGTCCCTAGGTCAGTGAAAGTGACGAAGTACCGGCTCCCGTGTCTTGAACTTTCCCTCAGTGGCCCACACACATCAGCTGCCACTATCTCCATTGCACCGTAGGGCTCTTGAACCTGGTGTATGGGATGCGGGGTTTTTGAGATCTTGCCTTCCACACACTTGCCGCACCTCCCCTTACTCCCATCTCCTTCTTTCAGCTCCACACCGGCTGCCATGCCCTTCTTCACAAGCTCCTTGATCCGCTCCATCCCCGCATGCCCTAAACGCCTATGCAGGGTCTCTAGATCCACTTTTGCAGCTGCTGCCACCATTGCAACAGCTTCCACCTGCAGCTCCTCGACGGGCACTCCTTTCAGCTTCGCCTTCAACTCCTCCCTTGCCATCACTCCTTCCTTCGGTGGTGGCTGGTAGGTAGCCTTCTCAGCAACCAAGACCTTCTCATTCAGTTTCATCTCATACAATCCATCATTCCTCATTCCCTTAGCAATCACATTCCATGCATGGTCAAACACCCACATCTTCCCTTTGTCACTGAAATTCTTGCACCCGGTGCTGTCCAACTGTGATTGGCTGATCAGGTTCAAGGCCAATCCATCCACATACAGCACATTCTCCAGCTTCAATTCCCCATACTGCCCTTGCAGCACCAATTCCCCCTCACCCTTCACAGGTAGCTTCCCTTCATTCCCCAAAATCACATACGGCACACTTGACTCCCTCATGCCAGTCAGCCACTCACAATGATTCGTCATGTGCTGAGTGCAACCGCTGTCCATGAACCACGCAGCAGCTCCACCTCCTTTTGCCAGCATGCACACCCCTGATGCGCGCGCCACATTCGCCTTATGTGCGCCACCCAGAATGGCATCTTCCTTGTCATTCTCTGCTGCTGTCGGTGCTGCTGCTGCATTTGCTTTCGGAGGTGCTGATCCCTGCTGCTGTGGTCCCCTATAGCTCCGGCTGTTGGGGTTGGAGTAGCAGTCAATCGCCCTATGCCCAATCTTCTTGCAATGATGACACGCTCCGTTGAACTTCCCTTTCGGTCCCCTTCCATTTCCCGCACCATTCTGCTGCGCTCCACTCCACCCCGCACCGTTCCCCTTGTAGTTTCTACTCCTCGGGTTCTCCGCGCACTCAAACGCTTTGTGTCCCGTCTTTCCACACTGGTAACAAGCTCCCGCGCCCCTTCCAGCGGCTGCCGCGTTCACCAACGCAGGCTTCTCCTCCACAAAGCCCCTTGTAAACTTCTCCCGTCGCTTCTGATGATCTCTTGCTCGCTCCAATGCCTGAAGCATGGCAATAAGCTTCGTCATATTCTCCGGTGGGTGGCAGATCAACGCCGGCCGCTCACCCGCCCAATCCTCCGGAAGTCCGTTGACGATGTGCCCTATCATCGCCCGCTCGGTTTCCGGCTCGCCCATCGCAGTTAAATCGTCGTTGTAGCTCCTCGCCATGTTGACATAGTCAATAATCTTCTGGTTCGGCTCCATAGTCATCAACAACAACTTCTTCCTCACGTCGGCGATGTTCGCGTCCATGTGCCCGAGGTATGTAGACTCCATGTACGCCCATGCCGCCTGTGCAGAGTTCTCAAGCTCTGCAAACTCATCAAGACCCACTGCAATCCCGTCAGCAACAGAATGACACAACTGAAAAAACGCTAGCTCACTCCGTTTTTTGAATTCCAAAAGTTCTTCTTCCGATTTCGCCGCACGCTCGGCTTCGTCGCCTTTCCCGTCGGGTCGGTAGTATTTCCACAAGCCGACCTCCTTCGCTCTCCTTATAAACTTCAATCGCCACGTGCTGTAGTGCTCGCCGTGGAACCGCTGGGCTTCACTCAGGCCCATGGTGGGCTTGGTCACCAACCCTCCTTGCGCTAGCATTTCCAGAAGAGCCTTGACTTGGGGATCTCCACTGCTCACAGAGGAGCCCGAGCTAACCTCCGATTGTACGCCGACCATCTCGAAGGTTTTGCTTGCTCTTAAGAATGCTTAACGCCTCTTAAACCAGCTCTGATACCAGCTGTTAGTCGCGAAACGCCTCACGGGAGGCTGACGCGGCCTTGACGGGGCCTGAACGGGCCCTTCACGCGATCCTGACGCGTCCTGATTTCGAAATCAGCTTCGCGTGGCTTTCACGGGGCATTCACGGGCCCTACACTCGAGTGAAACAGATTCGGCCCTTTGCGGGGCTTTGACGGGAGTCTCGCGGCTGAAATTTCTATCACTGTTGCTTGCCTAAGCCTTCACAAAGGCTTCTCTGGAGGTTTGACGCGAATCTGACGGGAGTCTTACGGTGTGTCACAAATTTCGACCAATCAGTGTGCAGCACAATTTGAAGCGAGAGAATTTCCAAAAGTGTTGCTCCAACAAACTGGTACAACAAATATATAGGTTCAAGCAAGGTACACAAGTGAGCTAGGTAACCAAACGTGTTCAACACGTTACGCCTTGCCTCGTTTCATCCCGCGTCGCACACACAACCTTTTCCACCTTCGTCGAACGCGCCTGAAGTCCACATTTGGTTCCTTGTTGAACACGCCTCGGTTGACCCACTCATTTTCCCCCGTCAACCAATTTCTCCCTGGTTCTTCACTTCTCTTTTCACCCGTCAATAATCTTCTTCACTCCTTTCGTGTTTCTCTTGCCGTAGCTCCCAAGTAATGTCGAGCTTCCTCTCTGGTTCCCAAGGCACTTTCAACACGCCACTGTCAGTCCGTCGTAGTCGTCGGTCCGAATTATGAGCGCCGTCGTTAGTGTGGTTCCGCGAACCACTCCAACAGCGGAATGAGACGCCCACGTTTAGGATGCATCCTCCCACGGAACATGCATTCATTTCTCGGATTCTCTCACCTTGCACCCCTGCTGCCATTGGGAGCTCGTCAGCTGCTAGGCGTCAGCTGAGAGGCTCCGCCTTTTCCACGCACTGGTAGGATGCATCCTCCCACGGAACATGCGGAATGAGACGCCTGGGAAAGTAGTGGTCAGATTCATTCTGCCGCGTCAACAAACGAGCGATGACGCCTGCGTTCCGCCTGCTGCCTCGGCGCAGCGGTCCACCCACAGCGAATGCGGCGAGTGCGGTGAGCGCTAGAAAGCTTGAGTGCTGAGAGAGGCAGTGATGAAGTTGCTGGCGCGCGCGAAAACAGCGGAACGAAAAGATGCTCGCATTTACGATTCTCGCCCTCTAACGGCACGCAATGGCTCCTATCGCAACTGTGATACTTGGGTCCACGGTTTGTTGAAATGTCGATCGCCACTCCCCATTTTTTTAATTTCCTATCGGCGGACTCTTTGTCACATCGGTTTATAAACGCGCGAGGTGGCAACTCCAAGTTGAAAGGCGCAGCTGAATTCTCTCCAAGCGTGCAATTTCGTCTCGAGCTCTCCACGGTCTCATTTCCAGATTCCCCGAATGTCGACCTGAAGGGGTCTTGCAGTTCAGGAGCAATTTCTTGGGCATCACTCCTGTGGACCCTCAGGATCTTAGGTTCCTACGGAGAGTTGTCCATCACGAAGAACTCGAGCGGTTGTTAGAAAAAACGGGAACCGCTCAACGTAGCCGCGAGTTGTTGACCTTGATCTTACATTCGGCTCGTCGGATGTTCACCATGGCGTGTGCTGTTCCTTCATCCCCGTCAGTCATGTCGATCAGCAGCTTAGAATACACGCAGATCTGTCTTCGTCCTTGCAGATCTCTTGATAAGAACCACGTGAATTCATTCAATTTCGGATTCGGCCCATTTCCTTCATGGACAAGCCCGTACCAGCTCGAAATCGGCCCATTGAATCATTCCGCATGGAAAGCCTTAGTCAGGGCCCGAACCTCTGACCGGAGCGTTGCGATCAGATGCAGCGCAGAAAACGCTTCCATGCCATCGGACTCTCCAGAAGCGGCGGTTCCAAACCCTAGATTACAGCCGACGGCCCATGAGAATCCGACCGTTGAGACGGAGTTTAAGGCTCTTGGGGCGGGGGAGGAGGAGGTGGGAGCTGTTAGAGAAAGGGAGGAGAGCGTAAGAATTGTTGAGGAAAAGCAGGGGAGAACCAAGGAAGTTGGGGGTAAGAGGCGTGGGAGGAGAGCAGGCAAAGCGAATGCAAGAAGTGACGGAAGCGGGAGTAAGAGCAGAGAAGGGGAAGGATCCGAGGAGGAGGAGGAAGCAGTGGCAGTGATTGCTCAGGTGTTGATGGAAAAGTTCGGACCTCAGATTGTGAGAGAGGAGGTGGAGGAGGGGGCTGGGTTTGGAGCGATTGAGGGGGAAGAGGAGGTGGAGAGAGGAGAAGAGGAAGCAGAAACAGAAGGGAGTGAGGAGGGTTCATCAGGCACCACATCTCGCTCCACACGTACTACCTCTCGTTCCTCCCTTCGCTCCTTCTACCGCTTCTTCTCCTCCCACCTCGGTATCTCCTCCCCTAGCTCTGTAGCTTCTCTTCTCGCCTCCAACCCCCAACTCCTCCGCTCCAATCCCACCAATGACTTCCTGCCACGTGTCCGTCTCCTCCAATCGTACGGCGTATCACATACCGACATTGTCCGCATCACTGCGAAAGGAGCAGCCTGGCTCCGAGTCTCCCTTCCACGGATTCAAAACAGGCTTGACTTTCTTTTGGCTCAAGGCGTCCGCCGAAGCAGATTGGGTTTGGTCCTCCGACGTGGATCGAGCTTACTCTGTGAGGCACGTTCAATGAACCTGGACATTCTGGTGGAGAGAGCAGGGGTTCCTGTGGACAAGCTGGGTTTGGTTATAGAGAAGTGTCCGGACATCTTGACTCGGAGCAAAGAGTCGGTGAATATTCAGCTTGAGACGTTATTACCTTATTTGCAAGCGAGATCTGGAGGGAAGTTAGAGTCAGATAGCACCAGCACAACCCTCCTTAAGCAGCAACTAGATGAGCCGCAGTTCTTGATTTCCGCAGTCACCCCCTCCATTGTGACCTCTACGCTTTGGCGGGCCCCCACCATCTTCAATCTCAGTAGAGACACTCTTTTAGCTAAGCTCCAGTTCTTGGTGGGGCTGGTGGGGGAGGAGGCAACAGGAAGAGTGGTGAGGAGCTACCCGCATGTTCTGGTACTATCGAAGGAGAACGTGCAAGGCAAGGTGGTGTTATTGGCTGATTTGATTGGCCAAGAGAATGCAGTGCGCGCAGTGACACTATTTCCTTCGCTAGTATCGTCTAGTAAAGATGGCATGAGGGAAAGTTTCAGAGAGCTTGTGCGAGAAGTGGAAGAGGCATTGGAGAACAGTGGAGGAGAGGGAAGTGGGCCGCTAAGGTTGGGGGGAGGTGACTGTTTGGAAGAGGAGAATAGGTATGGAGCACAAGCCGGCAAGAGACACAGGGCTTGTAGGTTAGTTGTGGATTTGGTGGTGAAGTTCCCGCAGGCTATCTACATCAGTTGGGAAGCAAACTTGAAACATAAGGTGGAGTACTTAAAGCGGGACATGGGGCTGTCCATAGTAGAGATGCTTGCCTTTCCGCAATTCGTTACCTACAGCTTGGATCGGCGAATCAGACCGCGACATGTGGCATTGTTGCGAACGGGCTATGAGGTTGTGGCACGCGAGATGGCTATTCAGAGGAGTGGTGGCAAGAGGGATGTTTCAAGAGGGAAAGAGAGGAGCATGCTGGGTTCTGTGTCTGATGAAGTGGAGGGGGTAGAGAGGATTGAATGGGGAGCGGAAGAAGGGAAGAGTGGGCCGTTGTTTAGGGTTGTAGCAGCCAGTGATGAGCCAGGGGAGAGAGTAGTTACAGAGCGGCAGCTTCTGGAATTGGAGCGGTCAAAGAAAATGGTGTGCTTGCAGCAGTTTCTCCACTGTACAGACAAGCATTTTGAGGAGAAGTTTGGGGTCACACTGTAGGGCTGGTGCTGATATTCGCTTCTTCGGCTTTCAGTGTGCCCCGGGCCTAAGAGTCCATGCCTGAGTGTGAGGGTGTGCGCCCATGCCTGAGTGTGAGGGTGTGTGCCCATGCCTGCGTGTGAGGGTGTGTGCCCATGCCTGAGTGTGAGGGTGTGTGCCCATGCCTGAGTGTGAGGGTGTGTGCCCATGCCTGAGTGTGAGGGTGTGTGCCAAGTCCGTGCCTCCACCCTGTGAATCTCAATCTGTCAGGCGGCCAGGTTGTAGTGCCACAGCATTGATGCTGGGCCCTTGGTTGCTGCCAGATGGGAACAGAGGGGGTGTGGCTGCTACAGCTGCCTCTGCTACAGCTGCCTCTGCTACAGCTGCCACGGCCCTCCCCATGCGGGACCTACTACAGCTGTTCCTGTGGGTGGCTGCGGTGTCACTGGCTGTAGCAGAGGAGCTGCTGTTCAGAGGGCTGCTGCTCGCGGGCCTGCAAGAGAGGCTTGGTAGGTCAGAGGCTTGGAAGGAGGTTTGGCAAGGCTGCACCTCCACCTGCTGCCTTTTTTCTGGTCTTGGTAATTTTCACACCTCCCCAAGCACACACACTTACGCAGCAATTCAATTCCACTTTCTCCCTTGCCTGTCATGTCATGATACCCAGAACTGAAATCAATGTAAGTCAGCTTGAATTGTGCTAGTCTAGTTAAATTCAGCAGGCCAGGTATTGTTTGACTAACTTCCCTTCCTGCGCTATCCCCTTCTTGCCTCTTACTCCCTCAGGATCGGCACTGCCATGCTGTCATTGCCCTCTCCCTTTCACTCCTCTTCCCCAACATGGCCCTTGGGAGTGCCGCCGGCCTGCTCATAGTTTACCCAAATAACGTGCTGGTCACCCTGCATACCACTTACAATGCATCTGCCCTTTTCACTATGCACTCATGGCTATGGCTGCTGTTTCTCTTTAGCAAGGAAGTGCTAGTCGTCTCGTGGATGTCTTTCAATACGTTCTGGAGCACATTGCACAGAAATAGTTGTACCGTATATCATCTTTTCTGTGGACCACATTGGGTAGAATTCGTGCGTCTTGAGACCGTTAAAAACACCACATACGGTAACACGGAAAGGCTTGAGGTGGCTGTGGGCGAAAGAGAGCCTCCCTATTGGTAGTATTCAGGAACGTACAGCAGGGATCATGGTCACACAAACACCCAGCAGTATGCACTCCGATATGGCATTAAACTAAAACTGCTAAACTACTGACGCAGGGCATGTGGTTGCTGTGACCCGTGCCCAAGAGGCCATGTGTGAGTGTGAGGGAGCAAGTGAGGCTGTGTGTGTCAATTGCAACGCCCCGACCAGCCAGCCACTCCCGGCAGTGCTCCCGAACCTTGGGTGCACTTCGAGCCTCGTGTATGATGAAAATCATGTCATCGATGCGTCTCTGTAGCAAGTACACTGGCCCATACCCTGCTCCACCACTTCTGCCGCCGCTGCTGCCGCCGCAGAAGCTGCTGCTGCTGGTGCTGGCAGTAGCGGCAGAGGTGAGAGTTTTGAGAAGAAGTGAACGAGAGAATGAATGAACTATGAACGAGGTGAGTACAAATAGGAAACCCTAATTGGGTTGTACCCCCTATGGGATACCCCACTATAGCCTACACAAATAAGTAAGCTATAATGTTCTGACACACCCCAATAGGCAAAGTGGGGGAGAACAAGGGGTCAAAAGACCAGTCAAGCAAAGCAAAGCAAAGCTCAGAGTGGATCACAAAGTCACCACACATTCCGAGCACAAGTTCAAAGGCCAGAAGGCCAGTTCACATGCAAGATCATATATAGAGATATACAAGAGACAAACAAGCAAGAGCAAGAGTATATATAGGTAGAAGTACAAGCAAGGTCAAGAAGTGAGCAAGTGAGGCAAGGCAGGCACAAGGCCCAGCTGCGTGCAGCAGCGCTGATAATCACAAGGTGCAAGTGCCTTGGTGAAGATATCAGCAGTGTTGGCCTCAGAGGCCACGTACGCAAGTCCCAACTGTCCACGCTGCTGTAGCTCACGAGCAAGAAAGTAGCGGAGAGCAATGTGCTTTGTCCTGTGCTCAAGTCGCTCCTCTCGACACAAGGCCAGCATGGCCTTGTTGTCTACGTACAGGACTGGAGGAGAACGAGGCGGCTCTCCAAGGTCGGTCAGCAGGTAGGTGAGCCAGCGTAACTCCTGTGCAGCCATGGCCCCGGCGTAGATCTCAGCCTCACAACTGGAGCCGAGAACAGAAGACGAGCGGGTAGCCCGCCACGAAACAGAGCCGGAACCAAGACTGAAGGTGTAACCCTGTGACGACCGCTGCGTAGCCTGGTCGTCAGCCCAAGAGGCGTCTGCATGCCCAGTGAGGACCACTGGACTCTGCCCTCCAAGCACAAGCCCCATGCCTGACGTACTGCACAAGTAGCGCAACACCCTCTTCGCTGCAGCCATGTGCTCTGGTCGGTGTCTCCCAGGAGCAACATAGCGTGCAAGAATGCTCAGAGGGTATGCAAGGTCAGGTCGTGTGCAGGTCATCAGGTACATGAGGCAGCCAACAAGCTCTGCATACGGGCCACTCGACTCTACGGACTCATCCGAAGGCAGAGCTGAGAGCGAGTGGCGAGTAGGCAGAGGAGTGGCCTGAGGCGAGGAGTACGTGAAGCCGAAGCGCTGAAGGACCTGCTGCACCATGTGTGACTGAGTTAGGGTAATGGTGTGGCGTGCTCTGTCCCGGGTGATCTGCAAGCCAAGGTAGCTGCGCAGTTCACCCAGGTCAGTGCACGTGTGTCTCTTCTGCAGCTCGGACTTCACGTAGGTGAGTCCAGCAGTGTCAGCTGTGGCAAAGACCAAGTCGTCGACGTACACGAGGATGTAGAACGGCGGCAGAGAGGTGTCGGTGCGCAGAAACAGCGACGGGTCTGCAGTGGAGGGAGCAAACCCAAGTGCCGCCAGCGTAGTCCTCAGTGTGTCGTGCCACTCACGCGGCGCCTGGCGGAGACCATAGACTGGCCGCCGGAGGCTCCATTGGGTACCAGGAGGGAAAGACCCAGTGAAGCCTGGTGGGCGACGTAGCCAGATCTCCTCGTGCAGGCTGCCCTGCAAGAAAGCAGTGCTGAAGTCGAGAGAGTGCAGCTCGTAGTCACGGTGAGCAGCAACGTGCAGCAGTACCCGAAGAGTGGTCATCTTCGGGGTGGGGGAGAAGGTCTGAAAGTAGTCAACTCCTTGCCGCTGACTGAAACCACGAGCCACGTACCGCGCCTTGAAGACAGGCGGAGAACCCGGCGGCCGCTTCACCCTGAAAATCCACATGCCACTGACGATGTTCGCCCCAGGAGGGGGAACAGCATCAACGTAGGTGCTTGTGGACTTCCAGGAAGCCATCTCTGCATCCATATCTGCCTGCCACTGAGAGGAGTAGGGACCCTCTATCGCCTCCGCGTAAGAGCGCGGAGTCGGGATGTCTAGTGCATCCGGGTCTCCCTCAGGGGCTAGCAGTACAGACGCGAGATGAGGTGAGGTGGCGGCCAGACACTGAAAATCCTCCTGCCTATCCTCAAGGACGTCCGTGCCAAGGGCACACTCACCCCCGACGGACGGAGGACAGGTAGACTCAGACTCAGCGACAAGACCAGCAGCGTAGTCTAGACGACATCGCGCAGCAAAGTCGACGAGCTCAGTGACAATGGCACACGCAGTAGAAGACTCGAAAGAAGGGTCAGTGACAGCAGTAGCAAGGAGACGCGTGACAGTAGGACTGGCAGCACGAAGAGAGTCCGACTCCGGGTCGGCAAGAGCAGGAAGAGAGGAAGAAGGAGGAGAAGGCAAAGGGGCACGTAGGGGAGCAGTGGACGGACGGAGAGACATCCGGTGCGTGCCAGGGACAGGAGGCGGACGCTGACGCGAACCGCGACCACTAGTGCGCGCAGTACGAAAAGGCGACGCAGGACGAGACGCAGGCTCACGACGCTCAGTAAGACCTCCAGTCGGACCAGCGTAGGGAGAAGGAGCAGGCAAAGGGGAGGCAGGCTGTAGCAGTGACTGGACAGGCTATGGACCCTCTAAGGGAGGAGGAGGAGGAGGACCAGGAGAAGGTGGAAGACCAAGATCCTGCTGCAGGAGCGGTACGAAGTACGGTCGGGGCCGCGTGGCGACGCCAGAAACAGCAGGGACAGCACCAGTACCCCCAGCAGGAGTACACGCTCCAGCAGCACCTCCAGCAGCACCTCCAGCAGCACCTCTAGTAGCTCCAGAACCCCCAGCAGCTCCTCCAGTAGCCCCAGAACCTCCAGCAGCACCGGGAGCACCGCCAGTCGAACCACCAGTGGTAGTCTCAGCGCCAACACCCTCAGCAGCACCAGCTCCAGGCGAACCCGCAGGCCCAGCAGCTCCAGTACTCCCAATACGAGCACCTCCGGGACCCGCGGCAGCAGCACCCTCAGCAGCAGAAGAACCTCCAGGCGTAGCACCCCCAGGCTCAGCACCCCCAGGCTCAGCACCCCAAGACTCAGCACCCCCAGACTCAGCACCCCGAGGCTCAGCACCCCCAGGCTCAGCACCCCTAGGCTCAGCACCCCCAGGCTCAGCACCCCTAGACCCCGCACCCCCAGGCTCAGCTCCCCCAGGCACAGCACCCCCAGGCTCAGCACCCACAGCAGCACCAGAGTCACCAGTGACCTCGACAGGCTCGACCGCGTCTACCAGGGACACACCTGAAGGGGCAGGACCCTGAGGGGGGAGGGGGTCTACCGGGGGGGGACCTGGTACCAAGAAGAGCGGGGGTGGGGGGAGGGACGGAGTGCGGTAGGGGAAGAGGCGGTAGTAGGGGACCGACTCGTCAAACGTGACGTCCTGGGAGGACAGAACACGGCGAGAGGTGGGGTGGTAGAACTGCCACCCAGGCGCGTCGGGGGGGAACCCCACGAAAACGCAGGGAGCAGCGCGAGGGGACAGCTTGTCCGCAGACAAGTCGCGGACAAACGCCCGAGATCCCCAGACCCGGAACGCCGACGCATCGCCAACCTTCCCCGTCCACAGCAGGGCTGGGGAGGTCTCCGGCTTGGAGACCCTGGGGTGGAGGTTGATCTGATGCGCCGCGTACCTGACAGCAAACGGCCACAGAAAATGGGGGGCAGCCGCATGCATCATAGACGTACGAGCTACGTCCATGACCATGCCAATGCGGCGCTCTGCAATCCCATTTTGCTGCGGTGAGTCCGGAAGCGTGAAGGTCTGGCGGATGCCTCGCGCACGACAGTAGGCACGCAGAAGGCCAGAGTAGAACTCTCCGCCTCTGTCCGAGTGCAGACGCAACACAGGAAAGTCCGAGCCAAAGCTCTGCCTGAGGTGGAGACCAGCTGCGCGGATCCAGTCGATCAGCACCGCAGTGACATCACCCTTGCTGCGCAAGGGGAAGACTGTGGTGAAACGCGAGTAGTCGTCAACCACCAACAGGAAGTAGCGCTGGTGACCGAGTCCACGGACGCGAGCAGGGCCCCACACGTCCATGTGAAGCGTCTGCAACGGAGCCTCTGTCGGAGGAAACTGGGAGGAGTGAGGGGCAGCACGCTGGCACCCCTCGACACAGGGGACACAGGCAGGGCCAGGGCCCTGAGGAAGGGGAGGGAGGGTCCGGGGGAGACCAGACACAAGAAGACGGGAGGCCATGCCTCTGAGCCGAAGCAAAGAGGGGTGGCCAAGGCGGTGGTGAGAGAGGAGGGTCTCGTGAGACAGACGGCGACACGAACAGGGGGCAGACTCAGGACCAGACCTGGACGCTGCAGCAAACACCTGACCAGACGAAGAGACCCTACCAGACTCAGCACCTGGAGGAGAAGCAGTGGTCAGTGTGT